AGATCAATGCGAATTGTCCTCGAAGAATTGCGTTTAAATAATACGCTGTTCATGATTTGTATACTGTTGTTGCTGCTGCTGTAGTCTGTGATCATTCGAATAATGATGGTGCTTATGATGGAGACGAGTCACCATAGTAACAATGATGCCCACGCCTCACGGCTGAGGAAGTAATCACAGACGCTCGTAATTCTTTGGGGGAAACTGATGTAACAGTTCCATTGCCTGCAGACTGCCTGAAGTCGGACATCTCTCTCTTGTTTTTGGTTTTTGTTTTTAATTACAAAGGCCAAGAGATATTTTGCGCGCCTCTCAATCTGACTTACGCCAGTCCCCCTTCTACTTTACCATGATACTATTATCACAGCTTGGAAAAATGGCTGCCGTCCTTCCAGACATAACTTGACTTTGTCAAATCACTCTGTACTAACTTGCAATCGGAACGAGAACGATTGGAATTAAAAAGGAAAAAAAATGAAAGTAAAAATTAGAAACGATAAAAAAAGATTCAATCAATTTTCAGGGATTTTCGAGAACAAGAAAGCACTTTTTTAATAACTTCGCCATCTTTATTTCTTTTCTTTTTTTGTGGGAAGTTGCTTCTTTTTTTTATTATTCCACGGGTAAAAAAATATGTTTTGGCGTTCTTTTCCCCTATTACTTTCTTTCTTTTCCTCACTTTCCTATGTTTTCTTCATTATTTTCAATTTGTTTTTTCTTCGCGTTCGTCTTTGTATGATTCTTCTCTCTTCATCTCTCTTCTGTACCTCATATTTTTCTTTTATCTATAGAATTGTTTTATTTTTTTTTTAAATTTAATTAGGATAATTTATAAAGTTTAAATCTCTTAAAATTTTGTATCGGTCAAGTGATATTGTTATTAAATACAAAATGAAGTAGCTAATCATATAATGGAAAAGCTAACTACAATTCATTGACCTCCGGTATTTTAAAAACAAATTTGAATTTTTGTGTGTGTATGCATAAACGTGTCGATTTTTGTAAAGACAAGCGAACATTCACAACAATATCAAGAAATAAGAACAGTAACTATCTTAATTTTCTAACCTTCCTTTAACAATTGTCTTCTACGAAACCAAAGTACGTAAAACTCAATAAAATATTAGAATGCTTAAAATATTTAAAATTTTTAAGACTAAAATTATAAGAAAAACGTTCACCTTTTATACGTCATGTAATTTTATAAAATTATGTCCTCTTTAGATAAATTTTCCGGTTGTCGATAAATGTGTCAACAGCCAATAAAACCCATCTCCGTGTAAAAAATTTTCTGAGATATTTTAAACTAAAATATAAATATGACTGGTGAGAAATCACCGATATAAAGTAATCCTAAGTGTATAGAGAGGAATAAGCACAGTCTATCTCGTAGATTGAATAAAGCACTGAGTAAGATAAAATAAAGAAGACGAGCTTATATATATATATATATATATGGGGTGGCTCCTCAAGACGGTGTAATGGTCAGCATGCTTGTCTCGCTAGAACAATTGTGAATGAGTAGTAAGTTTGATCCTCACTGATTTCCCCCTACTTTTGGAGTTTTGCCACATCAAGGTACGCTTGGAAAATCACTATATATATATATATATATATATATATATATATATATATATATATATATATATATATGTTGTAACGGCAAAATTGTCCAACTCGTGTAAAAGTAAAATTGTCCATTTAAACCGTTGTATCTTAGAAATAATAAAAGATGCCTTACTGGAATTCTCCAAGGTTTTTATAACACTACTGGTTTCTACTTTGAGCAATAATAATGTATCATTACTCTCCAAGATTAACAGAAGAATCGTGATGAAATCGATCGTAAACGAAAATGACATGTTCATCATGAATTAATCATATCTAAGGCTCGGAAGCTCATGGGTTATTGAAATACTTTGCACACACACACACACACACACACACAAATATATATATATATATATATATATATATATATATATATATATATATATATATAAACCGCTCCTTTTTCAGTTTATAAAAAGTATAGAAACTTTAGTTGGTGTTAACTTCGTTATATATATATATATATATATATATATATATATATATATATATATATATATATATATATATATATATGTATGTATGTATGATATAAAAGGCTTTCAAACACTAATGTTCCATAGTTATAATTTATTATATTGAAATCTTAATCACGATCCAATTCATCAGACATTCAAATTCAAAAAGACTATTAATTCTGTAGTAATATATGTCTTTTTGAATTTGTACATTTGATGAATTGGATTGTGATTATGATACCAATGTAATAAATTATAATCATGGACTATTAGTGTTTGAGCCTTTTATGTTATATTATTGCTCTGTCCTGGACATTGAACTCTACCTGGATTCTATTCCCTTGAAAATATATACATTAAAATGTTTGCAGATTTTAGTAATTTCCTTAATATATACTAATATTATCTATCTATCTATCTTATATATATATATATAGATATATATATATATATATATATATCCGTTGCGATGAGAACGAAAATAATATAAAAATTCTAACGTTCACAGCATTAATTCAAAAGAGGGCTCGATACCGATAGTAGAGCAATAATTATTTATGATAATTTTATCATATAGACAAAAACAGTTTACTCACTACAAAGATGCAACTTCGTTTCGGTGCATTTCAATTGCACTTATGTGCTATATCTCATCAAATGAGTACCCCAGGTATATTAAGCTGTATGTGGGATCAACTAGGAGACCTTTTAATGATAGATATTACAGTCACATATCCTCCTTTACAAATGCGGACACTTTCGAAATATTCTTGGAAACTGAACGAGGAAGGAAACCAGGACTTGCAAAGCTTTAAATGAACCTTGTTTTTTATGTTTACAGGAGAAAATATGTATTATTGAACTTTTGAACAACACCCGATTATTAAATCAAAGATATGAAAGCATCGTCTTTTGCAGACATATTAAAGATTTAACATTACAATCATGCAAAATTCTTAAATCCATAACTCTAAACGTTTAAAATTAGAACTCACCTCCTTTGATATACTTCCTACCCTCTTATATACCTCTCCACTAATTTATCTTAGATTATGATTATTAAAATGTTTGCAGATTTTAGTAATTTCCTTAAGTATATTGAAGAAATATTCGGAGTAATTATTCATTACACCAGCCGCACATCCAAGCTTACAGCGCCTGGTATTCCCAAGCGGTCACCATCTATTATCTACAAAGCACTATCAAGTAAAACGGTTAATTTCAAACTTTTAATTTTCAAAGAGAATGAATTCAGTAAATGTAGAAAATAGAAAGGAGCGTAAGCCAAGCACGTGTTCCCTCACCGGATTTAGTCAGTGAATCAATTCTGAGATATTTGGAAGTCCTACCATGATTTATTATTGGTGGATACAATGCAAATGACACGGTGTTGATATCAGAAACAGAAAGAAAACTGCAATAACTCCTACAAAAGGTAATAAAAGAAAGCTAGAAGAAAGGACTAAGGATAAATTTCAAAAAGGTAAAATGCATGGTTGTTAGCAAAAGGGACAGCCCAACATGTAAATTACAAATCGGGGATGCCAAAATAAAAAAAAAGTACAACAATTTAAATATCTGGAAAGTGTTTTAACAGAGGACGGAAAGTGCAGCACTAAAATCCGAAGGCGCATTGGAATAGTGAATAATGCTAAGCAGAGTATTAAGAAACAGGAACATTTTGTGAGGAACAAGTAAAAGAGTACTGAACTGTTGCATCATATCAGTCCTCCTATATGACTATGAATGCTGAACAATCTCCTCACAGATCAATAAAAAAAATTGAAGCAAGAGCAATGTGGTTGTACAGAAGGATGATGAGAACATCATGAATCAAGCATGTGAGCAACCATAAAGTTTAACAGAAAATGGAAACCAAAAGGATTTAACATCAGGAAGAGAGAGTTGAAATTTCTAGGGCCTATAATGACGAAAGAAGTCTTGGAAAATATCATACTCACAGGAGAGATTGAGTGCAAAAGAGAGGAAATCAACGAAAAACTTACCTAGCGATCTTCAGTGAATGGGCGGAGGAACAGGGTTTAGGAGATATAACAAAAAGACAACATTTATTCAAAGGTACAAAGAACAGGAAATTGTGGAGAGCCATTATCAACACAAAGCATGTAATGAAAATTGAACTAAACCGGAAAAGGGAAAGAAGAGTTAAGGAAATGAAACACAAAGAAGGTGAAATGAATGAAAAGAAAAGAAATTTTGTGCTGACTCCACAACTTGAAAATGAATGATGTCCTCCGTTTTTTCCTTTTCTTCTTTTCTTTTTTTAACTTTGATCAATATTTTGCCTCTAACGAAAGGAATGATTTAAAAATAGCAACCAAGCAAGAAATGATTTGATTCATTTACCATCTTGTCGCTTGTATAACCAGAGGGGCGAAAAGAAACGAAAAGAAAAAGAAAATGGAAATAAGGGGGTAGATTGCTAGGAAAAGAACATCGAAGTGGGAAAAAGAAAGAAAAAACGAAAAGAGGACAATATTGATAAGAAGAGAGGGAATTTATTTTGTAAGAGTCGAAGGATATTATGAAGATTGTTATAAAGTGGTTGAGATGAAGAAGGAGAAAAAGAAGGAAAGTGGAATAAAAAAGAAAAATTAGAATCAGCAGCAGCAGCAGTAGTAGTAGTAGTAGTAGTAGTAGAAGAAGAAGAAGAAGAAGGAGTAGAAGATCTTTACGAATGCAGTACTAAATAAAAAAAATGGAAAATAAAAGAAATAAAAGGAAGAAAGAAAAATAAAAGAAAGGTTTGTTTGTGAAAGCAAATTGAGGAATAAGATCTTTACGAAGCAGTTGACAAAGAAAAGGAAAAAAATTTAAAAAAAACGGGAAAGACAAACGTTCATTATGACCAAAAGAAGTAAGTGGAGGAAAATAAGATAGAGTATGAAAAAATAAAACAAAACAGACGTGTCAGAAAGAAAGCAATAAGGGAGCAGTCGGAGGAAATGAAGAAGTAGAAGGAAAAAAAGAAAAAGAAAATTTAGAAGAAAAAGTAGACAAAGTAAAAGAAAAAGAAGTAAAAAAAGAAAAAGAAGAAAATGAAGAAAAGAAAAAGAAGAAAAGAAAAAGGAAGAAGACGAAAAACAAGAAAAAGAAGAAGAAAAGGAAGAAAAAGAAGAAAAAAGAAAATGAAGAAAAGAAAAAAGAAGAACAAAGAATTATAATACAATAAAGAAAGAGAATCTCAAAGAATTTACGTTTTCTATCAATAATCCTTTAAATATTTCTTTCTTTTCTGTTTTATTTTTTATTTTAATGAATTTATATTTTTCATATATTTCTGGTTTGTATTTTTGTTCTTTTGTATTTTATTGTTTCTTAAGGAACGAATATTTTAGAGCCTCATTCTGTCATTTTACAGTCTTTCCTTTCTTTTATTTAATCTCTCTTTCACTCACCTTCCTTTAAGTACTTCTTCTTTATCATCATCATCAGCAGCAACAACATAATTTTAATTCCCAATATAACGTCGCTTTGTTTTAGCAACTTGAAATTGGTAGTGACTACATGAAATTTAGATTACCGTCAGCTTCGAACAAAGCAAGCTAAAAATATATTTGGTTCCTATTACGAGGATATCTGTCCCCAAGACAACAACTTGTCATTGCACTGAGAGTAGAGTCAGGAATACATCATGATCTCTGTGGCAATGGCTGGTGGAATTTTGGTTATTTTTTGATTGACCAAATGTTAAAATGCAATGGATCCTATTCTTTTTCTACGCGCCGTGTCCCTTCAGAGTGTGGGCAATCATGTCCCAACACAACCTCTTATCAATGTAGCTCTTAGCAACGTTCGACTTTTTAAGATCTCTCCCAATCCCGTTCTTCATTTACACGAGTTCATTTGGTACTCAATGTTTTCTCTGGCTTATCATGCCTTCAATATGTCATCTGAGTGTCAAATTCAAAAAGCCATAATTTTTGTTACTTGCCCCATAAATTTCAACTCTCTATTTCTAATTCTAATTGTAAGTAACCTTTAATTAAAACATCCTCATTGCTCACATGCTCAGTCCATGATATTTTCAGCATTCCTCTATATAAACTTATATCTTTTACTTCAAGTCTCTGCTTCCCCTGTGAGTAAATTGTTTCGCATTCACTGCCACACAGGAAGATTGATATTGCACAGCATTTCAACCATCTTTTCTTTCTAACGAAAATTTCCTGTTTCTTATTACTTTGCTTAGCTTTTGAAAGGCATCTTTCACTATTCCAATGCACCTTCAGATTTCGCTGTAACATTTTTCGTCATCTGTTAAAACATTTCCCAGATAATTCAATTTCTACCCCTGCTTGATTTTGACGTATCAAATTCGTAGTTCATATTTGTAGCTGTCCTTTTTGTTGACAAGCATATATTCTCTCATCTTACATTTGATAGTGTTGCAGCATACCTACGGACAATAATGGGTATGCCCACATTCTCATAAATACTGTAGTGAATAATGAACGTGGGCAGAGTTGGAGATTCATTGTAGAATTCACTTGACTCACTTCTAGCAGTTGACTACTACTTCTACGTGCCTCTGGCGAATCTTATATGTGTTGTTCTTGTCCTAAGTATTATCGTTCATTACCAACATTCGTGTGATTATTCTATTCAGTAACATCTCTCTAGGTTACAACAGATAGTTATTCCTTTCTCCCTGCTTTCCTTTACTATCTTTCCTTTTCTAGGTCTTCAGTGGAAGCCATACAGTTTCTACATATATGGACACTTTTTTCTGAATTAAATAACTATCGGAACTCATAACCCTTAGCTTGTTAGTGTTGAAAGATGCCCTGCCTTTTATATTGATAATCTTGCATATTTATCATTCATCTGCTTTGTCTGGTCTTTTTACTGAATTCATTGCACGTTGGTTTTGTATGGTCTTCCTTGGTTTTCCTCGGGAAAGCAGCGTCCTCTTCCTCTCAACCATTCTTGCAAAAGGTTTTTACTAAGTAGCTGTAGCAGTGGATAATCTCCACGCTGATATTTTTTTTTTTTTTGTTAAACGCTATTAAGATATGTAACGATGGAACATAGAACAAATATAGATGGATCTATTAAGAATGATGTAACATTTTTTTTTAATTATTTCCACCAACCCCCCAAAGCAAGGCGGTAATGCCATTAGTACGCAGAGGGTTACGGGAAGTGAAAAACGACTGAGTTTAGGGAGGATTGAGGAAAGGATAAAAGATGATTCGAGAAGATAGATGATAGCGATTGACGTTGCATTTAATTTTTTTAACATTGTAGCTATTAGGGAAGCAGAGGAAACGAAAGGGAGCTCCACAATCGGGATGTGCGAGAAAAGAAGCTCCTGGAGTAGAAGTGTCGGTTTTATTTAATTATTTCAACAATAAACGGGTGGGACCTAGATGCCAATCTAGTACCATGTAGTCGGGACATAAAGGAAAAGAATTCTCAGAGCACTTGTCATGAAAATAATTTTAGAAAAGACGTCTTGAGAAAGTGACTGAAGTTGCAATATAAACCACAGGTAGGATCTCTTTATAACAGAGCGTGTTCATGCGTGTTTTTTAAGAATCACCATCAGAATGATGACAGTTACAATAAGTTTGTCTTTGTAATTCACTCCTGAAGATTTTCTCGGAGGAAGTCGATTTATATATATATATATATATATATATATATATATGTGACAATTGGAAAAAATCATACATTTTGCCGACGCGTTTCGTCTTCCGACTTTTTCAAGAAAAAAAAAATGAATTCGAAAATTTTTTTTGTTGTTATAGTTACATTAAAATTCAAAATTAAAAAGATAGACGCTTGTGTCATAATTTTTTTCTGGTTAATGTAAATTATCCTTATAGTAGGGGGATTATTATTTTTTTTTTTCCATGTCGTACAATATATTAAATTCCCAGATGAATTCTGTGGACAGGAAGATTGGTATCAAATGACAATTGGAAAAAAATCATAAAAATTTAACTATATTGTCGACAACCTAAAAAAAAAAAATAATATAAATCCCTGTTACTATAAAGGTAATTTACATTAACCAGACAAAAGGCTTAGAAAAGAGCGTTTTTTTTAAATTTTAATTTTAATGTAACTATAACAACAAAAACATTTCGATTTCATTTTTGCCTTGAAAAGTCGGAAGACGAAACGCGTCATAAAAATGTATGATTTTTTTTCCAATTGTCATTTGATACCAATCTGTCTTGTATACAGAATTCATCTGGGAATTTAACTATATATATATATATGAAGAAAAATATACTGAAAAAACAAACAAAAATCCTAATATGCGATTATGCTGTTTTAATGTTTAATGTCAACGTCGGACGTTTCGGTCTAATAGACCATCTTCAGGACATATTCATAAAACATAATTAACATAGACCATATATAATTCAACATAAAAAAAGACGATGGACATGGTCTATTAGACCGAAACGTCCGACGTTGACATTAAACATTAAAACAGCATAATCGCATATTAGGATTTTTGTTTGTTTTTCCAGTATATTTTTCTTCATACTGTCGGATCTATATCCATATATTTGCTTACATATATATATATATATATATATATATATATATATATATATATATATATATATATATATATATATATATGTGTGTGTGTGTGTGTGTGTGTGTGTGTGTGTGTTTGTGTGTGTGTGACCGCTCAAAACCACGTTTAATGTCATCGTGACTTGTGACTTCGTGCGGGCAAAACCATCAACGACATCCAAACAGTTCTGTCTACCCAATATCAGTCCCAAGGCTTGGGTCAACCCATGATATGGTTTTCGGACACTTTCCAACAGTGCCGCCTCCCCAGGCTGATAACATCACCTGCCTGACAAACTGACCATAGGTCTCATTGGTCAGAAAGTGAACACGCCCATACATATATGTATGTGTGCGTGTAGCGTGTGCGCATGTTTGTGTAGGCGATTAATTAACTAAATACAGAATGTTGTGAAATACGCATCTATCTGACAGCCCGAACAAACAGTATAGGTTCTCTTCTACACTGTTGACGCCAACAAAACCATTTCATCCTCAACTTCGCTCTCACTTCCTTAATATACTTGGTCCATCCTCCTGCTAGCTTTCATCTACTTTGGTTCTGACTTGAATTGGCGTCAGATTCGGATAATGTAAGCAAGACTCGTCCGAAGAGACAAAGGTTTAATTATAGATTTCATTTCATGAAGTACATGTGAAATAATACGCTTAAATAATCCCATGATTTAATACTAGAAAAAAATGATTTTCATTCTATTGGTGTTCACAGTAATGGCATCTCTATAACTTCATGTGAATGTTCTATATATCTAGGTACCTTCACTGATTCGCTAAAAAATTAGCATACCATGATGAAAAAATATTGTCAAAACCATTGTATTATTATTATTAAGAGGGAAGACCAAAGAATTTTTATTATTAAATTACATTTTTTATCCATTTCGGAATTTTCTAAATTTTTGGTTAAACTTAAACTCTTGTTTTGTTTTTGTTTTTGTTTTTTTTTTTGTTTTTTTCATCAGAGGCAGTCAGGGTTTACAAAGATTTAGTACGGAGAATTTTAGCGACATTTTGTGATGACAAACATTGATTTAGAAATTCTTGCAAAAATCAAATTTTTGTCTTATTTTAGTGAAATTTTCAGGACGTATTCACGAATGAATTTAAACCTTTTTTTTCTTATTTAAAAAATCTTAGTAAAAATATTATAATTTATAAAGTTTTAAATCTATTAAATTTCTGCATTAATTTGTACCGGTTAGCGGATATTATTATTAAGTAAAATATATTTAATCATCAAAAATGGAAAAGCTTACTATAATTCATCATCCCTAATATTTTAAAAAGAATTTTGAATTCTTTTTTTATGTGTGTAAACGTGCCGATTTTTGTAAATACGGGCGTCCATGCACGATCTTAACAAAAGTGATAACTATAGTAAATTTAAAGCCAAAGTACCTAAAATTTAATAAAACATTAGATTACGGAGAATATTTTCATAAATATTTAAGATTACTGGGTAGTTAAAAATTATATAAAAAGGCGCTCATGTTATATTCCTCAAGCAAATTTTACAGATATATTCACCGTAGAAAAAAATTAGATGAACTTCCGTCAGTCATTCAAGCTGTCAACCTGTTAACACCTGAAATAGGCAGCTAACGCCATGTTAAAAACAATCATTTCTGTAATATTCTAAAGTAATATTTCTTTCAAATCAGATTAATTAAACTTTTAATCAGTTAATCTTCCTCAAATTAAGTTTTAGAGAAGTGTATTTTTTTTAAAAATATTTTGTAATAAGGAGAATTAAATGATGATGACTAAAAATTGGTGCGATAAAATCAGCGATATTAACAATTTCAAAACGAAAACTCCTTTTAGTGAATTTAGTTTTGAAATACAGCAAAATATTTTGTTTATTGGAAATATTAAATTTAATCTATTTATCTTCAAGAAAGCTTTTTCATCTAAGAAATTAGTTTTAAATCTTAGATATCGTGTTTCTGTGAGGGAAACTATTTATATTAAATCTATACAGAGGTTGCAAGCTCACTTTTTTTAAAAGTCGAAATTGAATACATAATGCTAAACCGGTTTTCATTATAAACTTAGGAACTTCGCCTTTTAAATAATTCAGCTATCTCGATAGTGTAATAAAGGTGTCGAAAAATGGGAGACAAATACGAAGGTTCATAGGAATAGCTAGCGAAAGATGCCTATCAAAAACTAACACTTGCTTGCGGTAAACCTTTCTCTGCCATAGACATCGAGTTACTCTATAGAATGGTTGAATTGAAATGTAATCAAAATCGCATTAACAATATCAACGAGTTCAGTGATCCAAATGAGTCTTTCAGGGTTGGTTGGTTAGAAATACAGCGATTCCAAAGAATTTTTTCATATCGATTTTACTCTTGAAGATAGCTAGAGAATTGATTATTCGAAACGTTGTCCTAACAACTAAAGCAACACAAAGAATGAGATTGGTAGTCCAAACAGCCTTTGCAATGATAATGAAACTTTTCAAAATTACATGTGTTTTCCATAAAGATTGCTCGTCTGAAAATAGACTGACCGCTATAGTATTAGACTAAAGAACACAAATGATGTTTTTAGCAGTGCTAAACACTAAAAATGTCAGCAAAAATACAGTAAAAATAAGATTTCAGTCACAAAAAACTAATTGTAAATAAGGTTTATGAAGGCGAAGAAGTGAGTGAGAGAATTTATTGAATTTATAGGAAGCATTAAAGTTGCATCCCTTTGTTCGTTTCTTGTCATTTTCATCGGTCGTGTTTCTCAGTATCTGTGACATAGGAACTAAGGTACGTAAGCGAATAATTGACACCTTATTAAGCGTCGCGACAGCTTAATTTTGGCCACGTCTAACGGTTTGTTGAACAACAAAGGAGTGGAGGTCTAGGAATCAGTGCAGCAATATGTATGGTCGGAATGTGGTGTTGGTAAATAGAAACAGTGACTAAGGCGTGGTGAGTGTGAGGGAGTGCTTTTGCTGTCGAGAACGAAGCAACGAGGCGAGAAGAAAAATAATAAGGATTACTAAAACAAATTAAGTCAAAATACGAATTAAAAAAATCTAATTTTTTTTACGGTTCGCCGCATTGTCTGGCAAATAAAATAAAACCTAAGCCGTTTTCTCACACCCAGACATATATTAAATACTATTTCAACACTCACTCTTCTTCTGTCGTACTCTTCCCCATTCTTTTGTTCTGATAATCACCTAGTGAAATTTTTGAAACTCTTTATCGCGGTGTTTACAGTGTTCTCAGGGCTTATTTCTGGTAAATGCCAACACGCCTTTTTCAATACTTTAACCACGCCAGTATTCATGATGATTTTACTTTCTTTGTAAGATTCTTTGTCTTTGTTTCAAGCGCATCTGTAATGATAGGATGTGCGGATGCTGCAATGGATTGCGGCTCGGAATAAGAAATTGGAGAGGCGAGTTCGAATTACAGTTGGGTTCGTAACATTCACTTATGCGCAGATACCATTGGGGAATGTTTTCAGAAAAATCCTTGTTAATGCAATATTCACTATCAAAATAGAATTATATAATTATACACTGAATTATACAGAATATATAGAATTATACACTGAAAGACATGTTACGACAAAAGGGTGATAATACCTAAGAAATACATCAATCAACAACAACCAGTGATAATGTGTACAAATGTCATATAATGTTTCATGATTTACGATAGTTTTCTCTGAAGGTCTCTTTATTTCTCTCGCTTTCTATTTCACTAGGTCTTCTGTTCGAAGGTCGTCTGTATTATCTGCCAAATCACATTCGCTTTGTTCACGAGGACAACACCCAGGCTTCTAGATTGGGTGATGCGCTTAAATCTAAAAAATCCCGATTATTCTATTTGTTTTATTACCTGAGACTAGTTCTAGTGTAAACCTTTCTCTGAGCAAACCAAAATCATTTGCATAATTCCCAATGATTTATATTTCCCACTCAATCATATCTGTATTATATGACTGACGATATCCAAAACATTCTTATCTATTTATATTATGTTCCATGTCCCTTCAGAACATAGGTGATCATAGCTCTCTACACCTTCATTATTTTGTTACTCTAAGTAAGTACTGACTATTTACCAACGTTTTCTTTTTCTTTGTTCTACCAATCATTCGCACAACCATCAAGCATGTTGCACAATGTTTCTCTTGTCTTCAGTGAAACCACCTCTTAATTGCTGTTGTTCCCAGGTTCACCCTGAGCCGGAGTGGTAGCACCTGATGGGGTCCTAGCTATGGGCAAATAATGAACAATACGTATTTACAGTAAAATACATTTTTAAGGCAGAATTACTAAAAATACTTTTTGTAGCAAAATGACCACCAATATATATTTATCTGTAGCTGAAGCCATAAAACTGAGTTCAAAATATTTAGATTTCGGCATTAAATAATCTACAGAGGTTGATATGACACTAAACAAAATCATCCAACGAAATTCCTCGTGAGTATTTAATTCTCCAGGTCTTCTTTTCTTGTTATGTGTCGCAGAAATTTCATATGTCTCTTTCTGATTGTAAGTAAAAGTGCTCCTATCTCCTTTTTTCTCCTTGTTCTCATATAATGTCCACGGCATTCACAGAATCCGTCGGTAGAACCACATCTTTGTTCTTCCAAGTATCTTGTTTGTCTGTGAAGAGATTTTCCAGCATTCACGTACTATTCCATAAATTTCTGTTGAAATATCTGGGCATTTAGAATTGTTCTGAAATCTTTAGTGAACTTTTACTGCTACTAATTTTTTTTTTCATATTAAGTAGCACCGATTATGAATATTAAAAAAATATATATAAAAATTAACCGGCATTCCTGTTTAAATATACTCATATGGTGTAGTTTATAAAAATTAAAATTAAATTAAATTCTTAAGGCACGGAGGAGTAATGGATAATGGCTTGGATTGAGGAATCGGAGAGCCGAGTTCGAATTCCAGTCGAGTCCATTACATTCACTTGGGAAAGGTATGAGTCCTCTTCTTCTCCCCCCAGCTATGGATAAATAGCAGCGCAGACCGGATTCTATAACCTTTGATGGCAACTGGTCTACCGCAGAAAGAAATGGCAACCTTCTGCGGGAAAAATCTGCTTTGTTAGTCATGTATAGAAAGGGACAGGATCACGTAAGGATGTATCATGCATGGCACATAACTGAATCTGGGGGGATTATTCGATAGTAATATATGAAAAATGAAGACCAGATTGCAAATTTCCAATTTAATTTTTTTTTTTAACATTTTAAGAAATTATGTGATATGAGCATATTTTCTTTTGGCTCCCATATTAGATTCAATTTACAATTAATTTACATATCAAACTGGAGTGATCGGGAGTGCTTAATATATAGTAATACAAAAAATATTTGAAAGAAATTATTATTTCTGATCTCATTGCCTATTGTGCAACACCACTGAATTTACTGGTTCGGTAATTTTATCATGTCAATTTTGTCATGTCAATTTTGTCATGTCAACTTTATCATGTCAATTTTGTCATGTCAATTTTATCATGTCAATTTTGTCATGTCAATTTTGTCATGTCAACTTTATCATGTAAATTTTGTCATGTCAATTTTGCAGCAATATTTGGCCGTCACAATGAAACTTCTATTATTCTGGTTTACTTTCCCAAGTCTTTTGATTGCAAAGATCGACCTATTTTTTTCAATTTGGTATCCAAACTATTGACGTCATTTCTCGAGCTTTATGCTTTGTAATCAACTTTGTCCTTTAATTCAAATTTCTCAGTTCCTTTTTATCCAGTTTAGTAAGGGTCTAGATCGGATATTGCCTGCTATTTATTCCTTTGATCAGGTTTATTGAACCTGCTTTCCAAACATTTTCTTGTTCTTATGATGTATTCCTTCCTGAATTTTCTCATTTTTATGCTTAACTGAATCAATTTTCAGTATTCTGAGATATTTTGCAGTTCGATTTCCCCTGATCATTTCATAACTGCTGTTTCCCCCCTTGTTCATCACTGAACTTGCATATATATTGATTCACTTATAATTCTACAGGATGGACATTCAGTAGTATTAATGCTACGATGAAAATTGATACGAATAGAATGTCTTTGAACAATTACTTTTTTAGTGTTGACTTCTACTAGAGATTTTGTACTCTCTCAATGCCAAATTTGGATTCTACGGATTCTTTAATTAATATACCATCTGCTTCTTTTATTTCATTTTCAGCAACTTTTTTAATCATCAAATAAGCAGTACATTTCTTTAATAACTTGTGCCATGAGGAAATAACTATATTTTAGGCAGGCATGTTTTAGACCTGTAATTACTAGCAGCTCTTTCAGGGCATCATTTTTTAATAGAGTAGTTTTCTCTTCATTTATTTATATTATTATTCATATTATTTGTTGTTGTTGCTGTTTCTCATTCGAATAGCAGTGGTGGCGTTGTCTTCGTGAAAAAGTTAACCAAAAAAAAAAACGGGACAAAATGGAAAAAGCAGCGGTGAAGGAGAAAGAAATCGGGTGATGGCGTAGAAAACTCTTGAGAAAAAACATTTTTTGAAAATAGCAACGAGGGGAAGAATGACAAGAGGACAAGCGAAAAAATTCGAATGTCAAATTTTTGCAGAGGAATCTGGTCGAGAATACAGCTGTTGCTGTCATTCGAATCGAAAAGTGAAAGGAGGTATATGGGTGGTGGAGTTATGGCAATTTTAACTGGCCAGGGAGAGCGGTGATGCTGGAGACTATAGACGATAAGAGCAAGAGGAATGAGTAAGTGCATCGGCATAATAATTTACAACTCATTAGGATTCTTCTTTTTCTTCTTCTTCTTCTTCTCCTTTTTCTCTCTCATTCTCTCTCTCTCTCTCTCTCTTTCTCTTCTTGTTATGTCCCTTTTCTTTTTCTGTCTTTCTTTTCATTATTCTGTCCGTTTCTGTTTCTCTGTTTTCTCTCTTCCATTTTTTGCCCACTCTTTCTTTCTTTCTCATCTCTCTCTCTCTCTCTCTATATATATATATATATATATATATATATATATGCGTGTGTGTGTGTGTGTGTGTATTTAGGCAGCAATACTTCCTCCATGCACATTTCATTGAATACGACAGACAAGGTAGTTTGATTTTGATTTTTTATACAATTTCTCATGCAATCTAATTTTTCTTTTCTTTTCAGATGATAAATTATATAAAAACTGTCCGAATCTTCTTTTAATCCGAGCGCTTCTTATTTAACAGTTGAAATATTTCATCCTTGAAAATGGCTAAATGTATAGCCGAAAGAGCTCGAATTAAAAGAACATTCGGACAGTTTATCTATCTATTCTTTACCTACCATGATGATGGCTTTAGAAAATCAAAAGCTGCGACCATATTCCCTGTATATTTCTTCCGAAATAAAATTCTAACGGAATTTCCCCCTTTTCTGTAACGGATTCTCTCTCTCCTTCTCTTCTTGTTATGTCCCTTGGAAAAGTCGATCATTAAAATTACTTGATACAAAATGTCTATCGTTTTTAATAGTATTTGCCTCAATATATATATATATATATATATATATATATATATATATATATATATATATATATATATATATTTCTGTTGTTTACTGTTAGCAGCAAGCAGAAATATTTCTCCTCCCGATGATGGCCATTTCGGTCGAAACTAGTCGAGGAATCTAAATGAAATAATAATAAAAAAAAACGAAAGAATATTAATCTACAACCCAGTGTGTCTAAAGATTTTAATTTTTTTATTTTTTTATTGTTCAAATATATATATATATATATATATATATATATATATATATATATATATATATATATATTAGTCTCATTAATATCTATCTATCTATCTATCTATCTATCTAAACCGGTCCTTTTTCAGCTTGGAAGTTGAGAAACTTTAGTTGGTGTTCAACTTCGTCCAGTGACATCTAGAACACTCACATAAGCAGATTTGTGAAAACAAATCTGCTAAGTTTCATAAACAAACGGATATGCCTTATATGTACGATGGTGTGAGTGTGCGCACGCGCGTGCGCGCTCTTGTTTTGCGTGCCTGCATATGCATATGATTAATCGCCAGTTTGTGAATACCTATTTGTCTCTCACCCTCTCTCTGGATGTACGTTCATGCGTGTGCGTGCGTGTGTGCACAGATCGTCCATCGGAACAGGAAAATCTTAAATAAATAGATTAAATACTGAAGTGATTTTGGTTCACATTAGTTATTCAGAAACACGGGGTACCACCATGGAAGAAACTCGAAAAGTTAATTTTGATTGTATTTGAAAGATAATAGTCTGAAGCTAATCCTTATTAAACGAAAAATGAATTTCCGGATGTAATTTGGCTCACTTATAAGACATTTGAATGTTTATCCGTCACTCATCGACTCATCCAACCGCCATTATAGATGGCCAATATAAGCAAAAAATCTAAAAATCATCTAAAAATTCGATATTTGTCAGAGAGTTTTATTTCGAATCATTTGGTAAAATAAATTAACTTGATTTTATAAGAGTGATTTTTACTTTTTATTTAAATCAACTTAAAGTAACGTTTATTTGCGTACAGTAGCCTGTGGGGTCAGAGGTTAAAAACAAAAATGTGAACATAAAAAGAGGACAAAAAATAAAAATTAAAGAAATATGGAAATACATGTCACATTGTTTTTGTAAGAAAATGGTGATTAATTTTAAATCAGTTATAATTTGCGGAGAAAAATGATGTGTTTCAGTATTACTCAATGACCTTGACGATGTGACCTCCATCTTCTGACTTTCTACTTCTATATTTTGGATGCGAGTCATTTCCTTCAGTATCTGTCTATATTTCTGAGATGAGGTATTATATACATCATTTACATTTTTTGGACTATTGTCCTCATTTTGTCGCCATATTTATTACAACGTTTAGGCAGTTGTACGCACTGGCCTTCTTCAGATATTCAAGGACACAGTGGATAAAGGCATTAGTTAGATCCAGTGACAGGACCCAAAGAGTGTGAGTTCAATACCTCGTTAAGGCAGTGGAGAACTTTCAGAGGGAAATTAACAGGAGATAATTGATAACTCACATCAATTAAAAACATGGCACGTGGAACTAGAACAGTCTACCCCAATGAGCAAAATAAAGGGTTCAGTTCGACATTCCAACCACCTGAAGAAGGCCGGAGCATACAACGGCCGAAACGTTGTAATAAATATGGCGACAAAGATGAGGACAATAGTCCGAATAATGTAATGAGTCATTCCCTTGGTCAAATTTAAGTTTAATTTGAATCCAAGGGGGAAAACATTCAGTGGGTGGGGGTGCAAAAACAGCTTGATCTGACTCCTTCAATATGTTATTGATGCAATACGTGGTTGAATGAATTGATGAGCAGATTTCAACATTGATACGACAGTTGAATTGTTGCAACAAATATGTATTTTAATCAATGATTGGTGATTACTTGCTCAAATTGACGTCCATATTGTCTCGTTTTGATCATACCGATGTGATCTCCATCTTCTGACTTTCTCCTTTTTATATTTTGGTATATATAATATATTTTTGATTTTTGTAAGTGGAAATTGAGACATAAGCCTAACAAAAACCTTAAACATATTGCTATATATATATATATATATATATATATATATATATATATATATATATATATATAATACTGATATCCCAATACAAGTCCCAAGAGCTACTCAAAGTAGAGGGTTATTGAGTGAAGTTGATGTAAAGGCGTAAAAGGAGAAGGGAGTACATACTATGAGGATATGTGGGATACTTAATGGTTGATCTGGACTTTAAAAGATTTTCGCATTCAATTTCTATCTATCAATCTATGTACAAGGAAAATTTATCTTAAAGTATATATGATACTAGCAACATGGCTCGTCGTTGCCCGTGCTTGATTCAAAAATCGCTATCACTTGACTTAAAATGTTTTTGCCCTTCCTTGCCTTTAAAGGAGTGCCCTTTGCCGTGCTGATGTTGCTACATGCCTTACTTCTTGCCTATCTCACACTGCGATTTTTTTCTAAGCTCTATACTAAACATTAAATCTGTTACGAAAAAAGAACTAAACAAAATGAACACAAAACGATCAGCTTTAAAAAAGGACTCGTAACTGGAAAACCGAATGAAAAAGAATGTTAACAACAAATATTTTTTTCACACCCAACCCAGTTCTGCGGAATCAGAATCAACGTTGAGTTTAAGCAATCGAATGAACCAATTGGAGTAAAGTGCCATGCAGATTTAAATTTTTCCCACTTGTGACGAATGCAGCTATCGATATTTTTTTGAATGCTAGCATGCTAGTTGACATTCGTGTCAGTCAGCTGTTGGCTCACACGCTGGCCAATAGAATCTTCCTGCCTATTCGTGGCAGCCAGCTATAGGCTCTCACTCTGCACAATAGAAAATGGCCGCAAACTACATAAAAACTACCATAGAAGCATGAAAAATCGATTATTTCCACTTTCGATGGGAGTTGGGAAATGCAAAGTCGGTCTTGGCCTTCCCACTAACTTGGAGCATGTGCATGTAAATTTTGGTGCAAATTCGTCGAAAATTGCGGCCGTGCATTCGCAAAACACACACACACACACACACACACACACTTCCTGCCTTTTATAGATAGAGAAAATTAATGTGCGTGCATATTTTGACATTATTATAATAATAAAAAATAAAATAAAAATAAACATTTAGTTTAAATAAATAAATCGCATTCTTTTTGTGCGACCTCGTTCTCGATAGCCCTTAGACATGACGTCAAGCTAAACTATTTGAAACGTCCAGCTTCCCTAAGGAATTCTAACTACTACAAAGAAAGCACATTGGTTCTTGATAATGACTACAATAGTCGAAAGTACTTGAATAAAAATAACAAAATATGAACGTAAGACAGTTTATCCACAACTCCGAGCACAGTACTCAAAAAAATTGGAAAAATACACTAAATAGTTTAAACAGACTTGTCAGTACTTTATAACCAAACTTGTTTGTATATATGAATAAAAAGAGACAAGAGGAAAAACTATACTTAGCGACGCGTTTCGTCCTCTGAGGGACTTTATCAAGGCAGTGTAGGATTTATTATGCTGAACGAGTTTATAAGTAGAGGCGATGAATGTCATTGGGTTTATCAAGACTTATAAGTTCGTTCATGAATGTCCATGAGGTTGTTGAAAAATCAGTCAAAGCATTTGGAGGACACAAAGTGTCTTAATTCAGACTCTGATAAAAAGTAAAGGGAGAGAATAATATTCAAGAATTTATTTTTTATTAAATAAATATTGTTTGGATTGTGATAAAGATTTTTATGGTATGAGATGGACATTTGTGCCTTACATCTTCAAAGTGATGGATTTAAACGTTTTCTTTTGATTTTGCAACATATTTGTCGTTGTGGATGTTAGTTTGGGAAAGTGGGAATTCTTTCAGGAAAGGTGAGATTGGGAAAAAACTGGGACGTAGATTAATATTTTGACAATATTCGATTGTGGCACTTCCGAGAATTTTCCTTCTGGGTAAATTACTTTTTCTTTTGATGACATTTTTTAGATCCAAATTGTGGTCAAATTTATTTCTCTTCATGACTAGTGCATTTATTGAATTTATGAGGTGCCTTTTTTGTTCATAGATACGTTTTTTGTAAATTTCTGTGTTTTCCCAATGTATTGTGAGGAATAGTTTTGTGAATTTATTTCATATATGTCTGCTTCTGAATTATTATTGCTATGGGTGTTTTTAGTTCTGATCATATCCATAAT